GAACGATCCTCATTAATGGCTCCAATTCCTCACAACATACCTGCACCCTTCAAGATCAACATCCGTTAGCCTGTAGTCTTCCAGTACCCTCCTAGTCTGACTGTGGGCCCACTTGTGTGGTTTGTTGGGAATGGGATGTTAACATATGCAATGTATACAGTTTGAAAAGCCTGAACATCAGCTTTTTGCACTTGCACCTCATCACTGCCATAAGAATATACCCGGGCTAGGTGGCTCCTGCATGAGAGGTACGTGGAACACCAGCTACATGGCTGTCAAGGAAAATTTCATATTAACCTTGCCGAGATGCAGGAGACCAGGCTGGACGATTTCTCTAGAAACCCTGCAGCTCTTAAATACAAAGATTTAGACATTAGAATATCAGCCCCTGGCATTAGAAAGACCCCTAAACTGGCATTAATATTCAAGGTGCTTCTCCTATGGGATTAGGGGCAGCACAGCACAGGGAGTGGAGAGTGTATACCCCGGAGGCAGGCTTCCTGGATTTGGTCATAGTTCCCACCTATTTGCTGATAACCTTGGAAAAATCACTTAGCCTCTGTTACCTGTCTCGTTACCCATAAAATGGGGCCAATATAGTGTCTGCCTCATTGCATTATTGTAAAGATTAAAGTGAATACGTGAAAAGTACTTGGAACAGGGCTAAGTTAGCTATGTGGCTATGGCTGCAGGAAGGAGGTAAGGTAGATGGTTACGCATTTTTTTTTGTCTCTGTAGAGAAAAGTTTTAACATACCTTCCCACTGAAGGGGAAATTGGGATGGTAAAAATTGCTGGTGTCTTCAAAGGTCATTGATCCCATTTGTGGAGAAATGTAGATATTCTGAGTGGCATTGGCCTCCACGCCTGCAGAGGGAAACCAGACGTATAAAGATCTAGGCACCTGATAGTCTCATCTTCGTGTTTAATGTCAAGTCTCTGAGAGAATGGCGGCAGAGGGATGAAGTTGAATGTATTTCTGGCCAAAGATCCAAACCAACTTCGCCTCCCCAGTCTTTTGGAGAAGTATGTAGTATTTCTTATAGACGGCAAGATGGGATCTGGCATTTCCCCTTGACTGGGAACCAGGAACAAGGTACCACCCAAACACTCAAGAGGGGAGGTCTTGTATCCTTGGAGTAATTATCTGTCCCTGGGACCAGCCCTTTTTCTTTCGCTTTTCTTTTCTTTCTTCTTTTTCTTTTTTTTTTCTTTTTTTTTTTTGAGACAGTCTCACTCTGTCTCCTAGGCTGGAGTGCAGTGGCCTGATCTCGACTCACTACAACCTCTGCCTCCTGGGTTCAAGTGATTCTCCTGCCTCAGCCTCCTGAGTAGCTGGGACTACAGGCGTCCGCCACCACTTCCGGCTAGTTTTTTGTATTTTTTAATAGAGACAGGGTTTCACCGTGTTAGCCAAGATGGTCTCGATCTCCTGACCTAGTGATCCGCCCGTCTCGGCCTCCCAAAGTGCTGGGATTACAGGCTTGAGCCACCGCACCCGGCCTAATTTTTGTATTTTTATTAGAGATGGGGTTTCACCGTATTGGCCAAGCTGGTCTTGAACTCCTGACCTTGTGATCTGCCCACCTCGGCCTCCCAAAGTGCTAGGATTACAGGCTTGAGCCACCACGCCCAGCCTCTTTCACTTTTCTTAATGAGCCAAGGAGTACCCTACTTACCTGTCCCTTCCTCCACAACAGTAGCCACAATGTTGATTTGATGGTTGTACGCATATCCAATGAGGTCAAAGGTGGCCATGTCCACAGGTGCTGAGAAGCATCCTGTTTTGTCAGTCTAGTGAGGCGATCAGAGACAGAGATAGAGAGCAGATGAGGAATATAATCTCTACGTCCATTTTATAACGTTCTGTAGAAGGAAATAATTTCTCATCTCCACACTTTAGTTTCTAATATAGAAAAACTCTCCTCCAACATGAACTACACACTTGCACATAGATAATCATGAAATGACTTTGAAGCTTCAAGATTTGGGAAAGGGAAAAAGAAATGACTTCAAAACTGGAAAATTGTATCTTACAGGGGTTTAGGTAAATTTCTTGGTTCCAAGGCAGACTCTAAAAGACTCCCTGTTGAGGATAAAGATCGCTGCTTTGTTCTTTGGAACTGGGATAATAATTCTGGGAAATGATTTCTACTTTGGGCTGTTAACCACTTTTCTAGATTGTTGCTTTCTTACTCTTTAGGACATGTGGATAGGTTCTTTTTTTGGGGGAGGGGGTGGGAGGGGCAGAGTCTCGCTTTGTCACCCAGGCTGGAGTGCAGTGGCGCCATCTCAGCTCATTGTAACCTCCGCCTCCCAGGTTCAAGCGATTCTCCTCTCTCAGCCTCCGAGTAGCTGGGATTACAGGCGCATGCCACCACGCCCAGCTAATTTTTTGAATTTTTAGTAGAGATGGGGTTTCACCATATTGGTCAGGCTGGTCTCAAACTCCTGACCTCGTGATCCGCCTGCCTCGGCCTCCCAAAGTGCCGGGAGGACAGGCTTGAGCCATCACGCCCGGCCGATAGGTTCCTTTTTTACCTGTCATTTACTCACCTGTCCAGAGAAGTTCCCGCATTTGTCAGGTAGCTGCTCCCGTTCCGCCTGTCCGTACCAGTAAGTATGTGCCTTCTGACACACAGACACCTGCACTGCCCCTAGCATGGGCTTTCCATAGGTGTACCTAACCAAGAAAAGCATGAGGGGTCAGAGCTGGGAAATTCCACTCGAGATCCGGCTCTTCCTCCGAACACCACTTCTCTCTTCTCACACTCCAGCCTCTGAAAGAAAGCTCTGACAATCCAGGCCAGTGTGGTGGCTCATGCCTGTAATCCCAAAACTTTGGGAGGCTGAGGCAGGTGGATCACTTGAGGCCAGGAGTTCAAGACCAGCCTAGGCAACATGGCAAGACCCTGTCTCTACTAAAAATACAAAAATTTGCTGGGCATGGTGGCTCAGACCTGAATCCCAGCTTCTCTAGGAGGATGAGGCAGGAGAATCACTTGAACCCAGGAAATGGAGGTTGCAGTGAGCCGAGATCGCCCCACTGCACTCCAGCCTGGGTGACAGAGTGAGACTCTGTCTCAAAAAAAAAAAGAAAGAAAGAAAGAAAGAAAGCTCTGATAATCCTACCTTTTCTAGTCCTCTTTTCCTTCCCTACTTTACTCAGTCTTAGAGTAGATCCATTCCACAATTAGCACCATCCTAAGGATGAAAACAGTATCTTTCTTTCTCCTGATCCCTATTTATCTATGGGATTCAATATTGTGTCTTGTGAAGACTAAATCAATACTGTCTGAGTGAGCAGTGGGGAAAAAAGAGCAGAAACACAACTATAAAATACTCTATTGGCTGGGCGCGGTGGCTCATGCCTGTAATCCTAGCACTTTCGGAGGCCGAGGCGGGTGGATCACCTGAGGTCAGGAGTTTGAGACCAGCCTGGCCAACATAGCAAAACCCCGTCTCTACTAAAAATTCTAACATTAGCCAGGCATGGTGGCGCGTGCCTGTAATCCCACCTACTCAAGAGGCTGAGGCAGGAGAATCGCCTGAACCCGGGAGGCGGAGGTTGCAGTGAGAGGAGATCACGCGATTGCACTCCAGCCTGGACGACAAGAGCGAAACTCTGTCTCCAAAAAAAAAAAAAAAAAAAAAGTTCTGGGATAAGTCATGACTCTGAATAATATAAAATACCCCAAGTTTTGGCCCCCCAATAATCCCTTTCCCCATGTAATTCCCTCATCACATCTCTTGATGCATCTTTAATCTCCACCAGATCTCAAGCTTCTGCTCTTACCTACAACAAATTTTTACTAAGAAAGATTCCTGCACCGTTGATAACTCCTTGGGTTCCACCACTTCCACCTTAAACTTCGGCAGCACTGAAGAGAGTAAAAGGAGAAATGGAAAAAGAATTGGAGGAGGACTCAGTCAGATAGGCAATGAGCAGAGGGGTATAAACACAGTGAAAATTAAATTAATGGATCTAATGAAGGAGGCATTATTTAGGTAGAATTCTCCTGAAGTAATTAGCTGGTTTAGCATCAATTCAAAAATGAATAAATAATCCTTTCCCAGATAGGATTTTACTCTACCTTTGCTGATTTTAAAATGAGATTATGCCCAGTACTTTGGCTTGTCCATTCCCCCACCTACCATATTCCTCCACACTGAAAGTGCCAAAGGTCTTGCCCTCAGCCACTGCCACAGTGTAGGTGCCCAGCATTGCCTCTGGTGCCAGTTGGAAGGACAGGTCTACAATGCCTTGCTCAGGTGCCACTTCCAGCCACTGTGCAATCCTGTTGCTGTTTGGATCCTGTCCAACAGAGAAACTGCATGATGTGCCTACCTGTTCACTTCCTACTCTACACTGCAAAATGCAGGTAAAGAAGCAAAAGGCAGGTAAAGAACCCCACCCATTGCTCAAGACCCCTGTGATCTGTGTCCAGGAAGAGTAGCTCCCTATGTTATTTATAACTTTCTTTATGACTGAATGAGGTAAATATTTCTATAGATCCAGCCCCCATTTGGGAGGAAATTTTGTGGATTTTAATGATCACACTGAGTCCTCTAAAGTGTTATCTCCAGTTTTAGAAAGTAGGACCCGGGATGTCATTTACAAAGAATGTTTACTCTGTTTCTGGTCCCTATTAGGAGACAAGGCTGAGGAAATTGATTGTAAGATACCTAAAAAATGGGTGATTGAATGGAAAAATGGAGGAGATATTGTGGAGAAATCGTCCTCTAGATCCTTTCCTTTAAAACACTTCTCACAGGTGTTTATGTTATCATGTACCTATTGAGAATGCCTATGGCAAGGGCTGTTACCTTAGACTAAGGGGAGAACAGAACCAAGCCTGGTTAAGTTGGCTGGGCACAGAGAAGTTAGGGGAATGAGAGAGCGGTGTAGTCATTACAGAGGCTGGTGTCCTTGTCTACTGAAACGTAGTTGTGAGAGACCAGGAGGGCAGAGGCGAGAGAACAGGCACAACTTAGGTGGATGTGAGTGCTCGGTGCTGGGCAGTCATGGGGCTCTGGGCCAAGATCTCAGAGTTGCTTCTGTCTTTAAGGTTTACCACCAAATTCTCATTCTTCCTCTTCCACGACTGACAGAGAAGAGAAAGAAACTTCCACTTACCTGTAGTTCCACCATGGAGTACTGAAAAGGAAAACCAGATAATGCGGGTTAAAGAAGGGTGACAGCAGTAAGAGTAAGTTTGCTGAAAGCAAAAGTTCACAAAGAATTCTTCATTTCCCTCTTGCCCATTTCTTCCTTTCTTCCTTTCTAAATGGCTCTTTTGTGCCCTGAAAAGAATAACAATGGGGGCACAGACTTCTCGGGAGGGAAACAAGGCAGGAGGAGGGGAAGAGCGGGGGCAGGAATCTCAAAGGAATTGCCAGTCTCCAAAAGATCTGAAGAACTGGAGCATCAGACCAGTCTCAGTGCCCTGTGACTGAGCTCTTGCACACACAAAAAAAAATGCCCTAAAAGAAGTATTAGCACCAGGAGGTCCTCAATGTTTAAACCTCTTCTTGGTAGCCAACCGTTCTCCTGCCCTCTTCCTTACCATCTAAATGCTTGTGGGCAGGAATCTACTTTCTTTTCTTTCCTTTTTTTTTTTTTTTTTGAGATGGAGGTCTTGCTGTTGACACCAGGCTGGAGGTGCAGTGGCGCGATCTCGGCTCACTGCAAGCTCTGCCTCCCGGGTTTCAAAGAATTCTCCCTGCCTCAGCCTCCTGAGTAGCTGGGTTACAGGTGGTCCACCACCCACACCTGGCTATTTTGTATTTTTTTTAGTAGAGATGGGTTTCACCATGGTTGGCCAGGCAGTCTCGAATCCCTGACCTCAGGCGATTGCCTGCCCTTGGCCTCCCCAAAGTGCGGGATTACAGCTGAAGCCACTGTGCCCAGGCCCAGGAACCTTACTTCAGCATTGCAAATAATATTTTTAAAATTGTTTGTTTTTAAAAGTTCCATTGGAGAGATCATGTAACAGTTTCCTCAGACAGTAGTTGCTAAAAGATGCGTGAGATTTTGAAACTGGAATTTAGTGAATAGCAGGAGAGGGACTCAGAGAGAGTGCAAAGGTATTCAAAAGAGAGAACCAGTTTGGATCATACTTGGAAAGAAGAGAATGAAATCAAGACAGTGCTTGATTTTTTTATTCTTGGGCCAAGTACCATGTGATGCCAACCAGTGAAGAAGCTGAACCACTAAATACATTATCAGCCTTGATATTAGGGATAATGGCAAATTCTCAAAAAAAAAAAAAAAAAAGTCAAAAAATAAGGAATATTAAGGATCAAAAATGAACTAGGACTTCCACAAACCTGGGCCTATGTAAACATCAGGAGGAGAATATCACTAAGATTCTATAGATTCCATTAAGTCAAAACAAAAACAAACAAACAAACAAACAAAAAACTTCCTTAGGCCAGGCACTGTGCGTCGGTACACCTGTAATCCCGTAGCACTTGCGGAGGCTTGAGGAGGTGTGATCACTTGAGGTCAGGAGTTCAAGACCAGCCTGGCCACATGGTGAACCCCATCTCTACTAAAACTACAAAAATTAAGCCCGACATGTGTGGCCCACACGCCTGTAACTCCAGCTACTCCGGAGGCTGAGGCAGGAGAATCACTTGAATCCGGATAGTGGAGGTTGATTGAACCGAAATCATGCCACTGCACGCCAGCCTGGGCGACAAAGTGACTCAAACACAAAACACAAAACAACAACAAAAAAAAACACTTAGATAACAAAGTACTTTTCTCACACAGGGATCAAGAATCAGGAAAGACATCAGTTGGCCAGAAATAGGCTCTGGAAGAAGATAAGTGTTTCACGAGGAAAGTAGCATTTCTGAGACCAGTCATGGTGGCTCACGCCTGTAATCCCAGCACTTTGGGAGGCTGAGGTGGGCAGATCACGTGAGGTCAGGAGTTTGAAACCAGCCTGGCCAACATGGTAAAACCACATTTCTACTAAAAATACAAAATTAGCCAGATGTGATGGTACGTTCCTGTAAACCCAACTACTTGGAAGGCTGAGGCGGGAGAATCCTTTGAACCCAGGAGGTGGAGGTTGCAGTGAGCCGAGATCCCGCTACTGCACTCCAGCCTGGGCAACACAGCGAAACTCCGTCTCCAAAAAAAAAAAAAAAATGGAAAATAGCATTTTTGACTGGAAGTTGCCTGGAGTTTCTGAATAACTGAGTATAGCAATCAAGTTAGACAGGGTTAGTTAATATCAGGCTGACTTTACTTGTTTGGGGAGAAAATATTGTGCTGTGTAAATGAAACTGACTTTGCAAAATTAAAACTGAGGAAATTATGACAGTGAAAGGAATCAGACCTAACCGACACTATCTTGCTTCTAAGCGGTTCCACTCGTCTCACCTTAGGTACCCCCACTACGCCCCCTCTCAGCAGGAAGAAGCCAGAGCAATCGACAGGCTTTTCCCATCTTCAGAGCACACACCTTAAGATTAAGGTATTATAAAACCCAAAGGGAGGAACTGAAGCTGCCTTTGCAAAATTATAACTGAGGAAATTATGAAAGTGAAAGAAGTCAGACCTAACCAACTCCATCTTGCTTCCAACTTTGAAGCTGTCCTTGTGGATTCCTGGGTGTAGGCCAAACTAACTTTGGGAAGGAATTCAGTTCATGGTTTGACTCTGAAACAAAATTGATAAGAGCCCTTTCCCAGTAAGACCCCCTTCTTGCCTGGGGACCAGTCTGTCTTTGCAGGACTGACAAATTAGCTACAAGATTAGAAATTACAGTTTAGGGGTCATGCAGCCTCTGGCTCCAAGAGTCTGAACGTCCTCAAATTGCTCCTGGGGATAGTATCACTATAGTAAAACCTAAAATCAGTGCCTGAGATGTTTTCAGACCCTGCATTCAGTGGATCAGCTGACATCACCCAGACCAGTAATCTGGCTCAACCAGTTCTGCCATCCCGCCCGGGAGGAGGAAGACAGCAAGAAAACCTCACTTTGACCATCTATGACTCCATCTCCAACCTGACCAATCAGCACTCCCCACTTCCCAAGCCCCTACCTGCCAAATTATCTTTAAAAACTCTGATTTCCAAATGCTCAGGGAGACTGATGTAAGTAACAATAAAACTCCAGTCTCCCGCACAGCTGGCTCTGCGTGAGTTACTCTTTCTTCATTGCAATTCCCCTGTCTTGATAAATCGGCTCTGTCTAAGCAGCAGGCAAGGTGAACCCATTGGGTGGTTACAAAAACACAATTTTTATTCTAGCTTTCTTGGTAAAATTCCTTTCGTTAATCTCGGTGTTTCAACTGAATTTGGAGGGAGGGCTTGGCTAGAGAAATAGAGCGGGGAGGAAGGAATAATTTTACAAGAGAAAGAGAGCCTAACTACGGAAATCAGAACACCTGGAAGTAATCCCGCATCATTTGAGCAAAGGAAATATATCGTAACAGCGGTAGTGAATGAGATCAACCCTGAGGGTCAGTGAGTCTAAAATAGTGCTGCTGCCGGCCACACGTTGAACCCGGCACTTCCTTGTTGCAGCTCTAGAGAAAACAGTCTGTTAAGAAATAAGTACTCAGACCAGGTGCGGTGGCTCAGGCCTATAATCCCAACACTTTGGGAGACTGAAGCGAGAGAGCCCAGGAATTCAAGACCAGCCTGGGCAACAAGGTGAGACCCCCCATCTCTACAAAAAATAAAATAATTAGCCAGGTGTGGTAGTGCACACTTGTGGTCCCAGCTACTGGGGAGACTGAGGTGGGAAGATTACTTGAACCCGGGGCAGAGTCAAAGCTGCAGTGAGCCATGACTGTGCCACTGCACTCCAGCCTAGGCGACAGAATGAGACCTTGTCTTAAAATGTTAAAAAAAAAAAAAAAGTAAGAAATAAGTACTCAACATTATACTGAACTCCTACAAAAGAAAAGCTACAGGTGATGGGAAGAAGGAAGTAAAAGGAAATCTATATTGGGAAAGAGAGTAGCATGTTAGGGCATTACTAAAGAAAGCAGGGTGTCTGGGAGATAAGTATCTCAGAAGCATGTAGAAATGACACGTGTTCCAACTTGAGATCAAACCTATTAAAAGGCTTATGATTCCAGGGATGGGGAGTCCAAGGAAAAGTCAAATATTCGCTAAATGTTGCTACCTTTTAACCTTTGGCATATATTTATTTAATGTTGCCTTAAGATAATTACCTATTTTGTAAATTATTTTGCCTCATAGAAACAGAGGGGAAGCGGACATTCTCCTTTTTGCCTTAAAAAACAAAAACAAAAACAAAACAAAACAAAAAAAACTTTTTTCAGTCCTGAAGAGAAGCTCTTGAAGTTTGTGAAAACTCTTAAAATGAAAGGAGGCTGAGCTACAGCTCTTGTCTGTAATCCCAGCACTTTGGGAGGCCGAGGTGGGTGGAACACTTGAGGTCAGGAGTTTGAGACCAGCCTGGCCAACATGGTGTAACCCTGTTTTTACTAAAAATACAAAAATTAGCCAGGCGTGGTGGCGCGTGCCTGTAATCCCAGCTACCCAGGAGGCTGAGGCAGGAGAATTGCTTGAACCCAGGACGCGGAGGTTATAGTGAGCTGAGGTCACGCCACTGCACTCCAGCCTGGGCCACAGAGCGAGACTCTGTCTCTAAATAAACACATAAATAAAATAAAATGACAAGGAGAGTAACCATCTCTCAAGAACCTGATTGATGTGTAGATACTGAAGCTGAGAACTGGTTACCTCTGCTTATTCCTAGGCTGATTTAGGCTAGCTTGCTGAGGCTAGTCCAGCACTTCCAGTCCCACACGCACAGCAGTCTCCAACCCAGAGGGCCTCGCCTTGCCAAACCCAGGCTGAGAGGACTTCCGCCTTGGAGAGAATCTCTCATCCTTTTCCCTGTTCTCTCAGTCTGCACCACTCCCTTTCCTCCTCCCAACTCACCTTGTCATTCACTGGAACAAAGTTGCTCTCCATGGTGACAATGCGGAAATACACTGGAAGGAAACAGGCATCGTTAGCAAAGGGCTGTTTCCTGGCTCAGAATTTTCTTTTTTTTTTTTTTTTTTGAAACAGGGTCTCACTCTGTCACCCAGGTTGGAGTGCAGTGGCACAACCATGGCTCACTGCAGCCTCAAACTCCTGGGGTCACCCCAGCCTCCGGAGTAGCTGGGACCACAGGCAGGCGCCACCACACTCGGCTAATTTTTGTAGAGACAGGGTTTCACCATGTCGGTCAGGCTGGTCTTGAACTCCTGACCTCAGGTGACCCACCTGCCTTTGGCCTCCCAAAGTGCTGGGATTGTAGGCGTGAGCCACCGCACCCGGCCTCGTGCTCAGAATCTTTCCTCCATCCCTCCTCCTTCCTCACACGTGCTTTGAGTCAGCAAAACGCCAACAGGTTTTACTTTTTTACAAAACCTACTCTGAGAGTGAGGTAAAGCCCAAACACAGGCCTGGAGCTCAGGAGGCAGAGCAAGAGGCAGAATAGAAGTCTCCACTGACCACCCTCCTCATCCCCCACAGGAACACCAGACTGAACAACTGTCCACACAAAACAGCACCGTCATAAGAACCAAAAATCAGGTGAGTGGTTTTAACTTTATATCACTGAAAGAGGCACTGAAGAGGGTAGAAAAGACACACTTGAATTGCTGATACACCCCCCGCCCCCATCCCCCAGCAGTGACTGTGTGGCACAGAGACAGAATCGATGAACTTGAGGGAGGGAGAGCCCTTCAGTGACTGTGGGACTTGGCATTGGAACTCAGTGCTGCTCCATCACAGGGGAAAGCACACAGGGCGGAACTCAGCCACCGTCCATGGAGGGAGCGTTTAGGCCAGCCTCAGCCAGCGGTGAATTGCCCGTCCCAGCAGTTGGGAGCTGAGGTCCGATTAGCCCCTGGGGCTCCGAATAGTCAGCAGTGATAGCTGCGCGGTACTTGTCATGGACCTTGGGTGAGACTCAGAGACACGCTGGCTTCCAGTGGTTCAGCACGTTCCCAGCTGTGGTGACTATGGGGAGGGGCTCCTTCTACTCAAGAAAAGGAGAGGGAAGAGTCAAGGGGACTTCGCTTGTAGCTTAGGTAGCAGCTCAGCCACAGTGGGGTAGGGTACCAAGCAGGCCCTTGGGATCCCCAGTTACAGGCCGTGGCCCTTGGATGGCATTTCTGGACCTGCTGTTGGTCAGACGAGCGCTTACTGCTCTGAAAAAAGAGTCCCAGGCCAGGCACCATCACCACCAGCTGACTAAGAGCCCTTGAGCCTCGAGAGAACACTAGAAGTATCCGGGCAGTACTCGTCGTGGGCCTGGAGTAGTGGTGGCCACAGGGAGAGACTCCTCTGTGGAAAGGGGAAGGAAGAGTGGGAAGGACTTTGTCTTGTGGCTTTGGTGTCAACTCAGCTGCAGTAGAACAGAACACCAGGTAGATTCCTCAGGTTTCTGACTCTAGGCCCTGGCTAGCAGATAACATCTCTGGACCTTCCCAGGGTCATGGGGAACTCACCACCCTGAAGGGGAGGACAACAAGCGTGGCTGGCTTTGTCACCTGCTGATGGTAGAGCCCTAGGGCCTTGAACAAACACAGGCAGTAGCCAGGTACTGGTTACCACAGGCCTTGGGTGAGACACAGGACAGTGCTGGCTTCAGATATGACCCAATGCAGTCCCAATACTGGTGGCCACAGGGGTGCTTGTGTCACCCCTCTCTCCAGGCAGCTCAGCACAAAGAGAGAAACTCTGTTTGTTTTGGAGAAAGTAAGGGAAGAGAACAAGAATCTCCACTTGGTAATCTGGAATTCTTCCAGATCTTATCCAAGACCATCAAGGAGGTACCTCTATGAGCCTTCAAGAGCCACAGAGATACTGAGCATGGGGTCCTCCCTAATGCAGATGCACTGCAGAGTCCAGAAACTTAGATTGCAACACCCAGGGCCCTTCAAATACCTGGAAAGTCTGCCCAAGAAGGACAGGTACAAACAAGTCCAGAATACAAAGACTACAATAAATACCTAACTCTTCAATGCTCAGACACCAATGAACATCCACATCAAGACCATCTTGGAGGCCGGGCGCGGTGGCTCAAGCCTGTAATCCCAGCACTTTGGGAGGCCGAGATGGGCGGATCACAAGGTCAGGAGATCAAGACCATCCTGGCTAACACGGTGAAACCCCATCTCTACTAAAAAATACAAAAAACTAGCCGGGTGCGGTGGCGGGCGCCTGTAGTCCCAGCTACTTGGGAGGCTGAGGCAGGAGAATGGTGTGAACCCGGGAGGCGGAGCTTGCAGTAAGCGGAGATCGCGCCACTGCACTCCAGCCTGGGCGACAGAGAGAGACTCTGTCTCAAAAAAAAAAAAAAAAAGGCCATCTTGGAAAAAATTACCTCACCAGGTGAACTAAATAAGGCACCAGCAACCAATCTCGGAGAAACAAAGAGTGATCTTTCAGATCAAGAATTCAAAATAGCTGTTTTGAGGAAACTCAATAAAGTTTTAGATAACACAGAGAAGGAATTCAGAATCCTATCAGATAAATTTAACAAAGAGATTGAAATAATATTGAAAAATCTAGCAGAAATTGTGGAGCTGAAAAAAATCAATTCACATACTGACCAACGCATTAGAGTGTCTTAACAGTAGAATAGATCAAGCAGAAGAAAGAATTAATAAGCTTGAAGACAGGCTTTTTAGAAATACACAGTCAGGCTGCACCTGGTGACTCACACCTGTAATCCCAACACTTTGGGAGACCAGGGCGGGCAGATTACCTGAAGTCAGGAGTTCAAGACCAACCTGGCCTCAAAACCCCATCTCTACTAAAAATACAAAAATTAGCTGGGCCATAGTGGCACGCATCTGTAATTCTAGCTACTCAAGAGGCTGAGGCAGGAGAATCCCGGGAGGTGGAGGTTGCAGTGAACCAAGATCGCGCCACTGCACTCCAGCCTGGGTGACAGAGGGAGATCCTGTCTCAAAAAGCAAAGAAAAAAAAAAAAACAAAGACAATCTGGCCAACATAGTGAAACCTATCTCTACTATAAATACAAAAGTGTGGCTGGGGGTGGCTTCATGTGTAATCCCAGCACTATTGGGCAGGCAGAGGCTAGGCAGGTGGACACCTGAGGTTAGGAAGTTGAGACCCACGCCTGAACATGGTCGGAAACCCTGTCTTCCCCGGTACGAATAATCTACTGGGGCAGGGTGTCGCGCGCGTCTTGTAACCCAGCTACTTGGAAGGCTGAGGCAGGAGGAATTGCCTTGAACCCAAGAGACGGAGGTTGTAGTGGAGCTGATAAATAACAAATTCGCGCCAACTGTACCTCCATCCTTGGGACGATAGAGTGAAACCTCCTTTTTGCAAAACAAAACAAATTAAAAAACCCATCATGGAGAAAAAAGAAAAAAGGAATGAACATGCCTACCAAGATCCTATAGAATAGTGGCTCAAAGGGCAAATCCTACAAGAGTATCTTAGAATTTTGGGCCAGGCACAGTGCTCACACTGTAATCCAGCCTTTGGAAAAGCTGAGGCAGGTGGATCACCTGAGGGTTGGGAGCTTTCAAACCAGCCTGGCCAACATGGAGAACCCTCTCACTAAAAATACAAAATTAGCCAGGCCATGGTGGTGCAGGCCTGTAATCCCAGCTACTCGGGAGGCTGAGGCAGGAGAATCACTTGAACCCGGAAGGCAGAGGTTATGGTGAGCCGAGATCAACGCCATTCGCACTCCAGCCTGGGGAACAAGAGTGAACTCCGTCTCAAAAAAAAAAAAAAAAAAAAAAGAGGTATTGACTTTAAAGAGGAAGTAGAGAGAGAAATGAGATGGAAAGTTTATTCAAAGTGAAAATAACAGAGAACTTTCCAAACCTACAGAAAGATTATTATTATTATTATTTGAGATAGTCTTGCTCTGTTGCCCAGGCTGGAGTGCAGTAGTGTGCTCTTGGCTCGCTGTGACCTCCACTTCCCTGGTTCAAGTGATTCTCCTGCCTCAGCCTCCCCAGTAGCTGGGATTACAGGCATGGGCCACCATGCTTGGCTAACTTGGTATTTTTAGTAGAGACGGGGTTTTGCCATGTTGGCCAGGCTGGTCTCGAACTACTCACCTCAGGTGATTTGCCCACCTCAGCCTCCCAAAGTGCTGGGATTACAAGCATGAGCCACCAAGCCCAACTGAGAAAGATATCAATATTAAGTACAAGAAGATTATAGAACACCAAGCAGATTTAACCCAAATGAGTCTACCTCAAGATGTTTAATAATCAAACTCCAAAACATCAAGGAATTTAAAATAAAAAAAAAAATCCTAAAAGTGCAAAACAGTAGACGTGGTGGCTTACGCATGTAATCCCAGCACTCTGGGAGGCCGAGTGGAGAGGATAACTTGAGGTCAGGAGTTGGAGATCAGCCTGGCCAACATGGCGAAACCCTGTCTCTACTAAAAATACAAAAATTAGCCAGGCATGGTGGTGCTCACCTGTAATCCCAGCTACTCAGGAGGCTGAGTCAGGAGAATCACTTGAACCCAGAAGGCAGAGGCTGCAGTGAGCAGCCATTTATTACATTCCAGCGTGGGCAACAGAATGTGACTCCATCTCAAAAAAACAAAACAAACAAAAACAAAAATTAGCCAGGCATGGTGGTGCACCCCTGTACTCCCAGCTACTCGGGATGTTGAAGCACAAGAATCGCTTGAACCCAGGAGGCGGAGGTTGCAGTAAGCTGTGATCCCACCACTGCACTCCAGAGCCTGGGCAACAGAGGGAGACTCTGTCTCAAAAACAAAAAACATTCAGTAACATTTCTATATGCCAACAGGGAACAATCTGCAAAATAAATTAAGAAAGATAATCCCATTTACAATAGCTATAAATAATATAAAATACCTAGGAATAACCTTTACCAAATAAGTGAAAGATCTCAACAATAAAAACTATAAAATACTGATGAAAGAAATGGAAGAGGATGCACAAAAACCTGAAAAAAGATTTCATGTTTCTGGATTGGAATAATTGATATTGTTAAAAGTCCATACGACCTAGGGCAATCTACAGATTCAATGCAATCCCTATCAGAATACCAATGACATTCTTCACCGAAATTCTACAACCTAAATTTTAGGAATATTGTAAAAAACAATTGTAAGGCCGGGCACGGTGGCTGAAGCCTATAATCCCAGCACTTTGGGAAGCTGAGACGGGCAGATCACCAGGTCAGGAGATCAAGACCATCCTGGCTAACACGGTGAAACCCCGTCTCTACTAAAAAATACAAAAAAACTAGCCGGGCGAGGTGGCGGGCACCTGTAGTCCCAGCTACTCGGGAGGCTGAGGCAGGAGAATGGCGTAAACCTGGGAGGCGGAGCTTGCAGCGAGCTGAGATCCGGCCACTGCACTCCAGCCTGGGGGACAGAGCGAGACTCCATCTAAAAAAAAAAAAAAAAAAAATTGTAAAATTTTTATGGAACCACAAAAGACCTAAAATAGCCAAATCTATTCTGAACAAAAAGAACAAAACTTGAAGAATCACATTATGTGACTTCAAATTATGCTGCAAAGCTATAGTAACCAAAACAGCATGGCACTGGAATAAAAACAAACACATAGACGAATGGAACAGAATAGAGAACCCAGAAACAAATCCACACGTCTACAGTGAACTCATTTTTGATAAAGGTGACAAGAGTATACACTGGAGAAAGGACAGGCTGTTCAATAAATGGTGCTGGGAAAACTGGATATCCATATTCAGAAGAATGAAACTAGACCCTCATCTCTCTCCATATAGAAAAATCAAGTCAAAATGGATGAAAGATTTAAATCTAATACCTCAATCTATGAAACTATTATAATATAAGAAAACCTTGGGGAAACTCTCCAGAACATTGGTCTGGGCAAAGATTTCTTGAGTAATACCCAAGGATCACAGGAAACCAAAGCAAAAATGGACAAACAGGATCACATCAAGTTAAAAAACTTCTGCACAGCAAAGGAAACAATCAACAAAGAGACAACCCACAGAATGAAAGAAAATATTTGCACACTGCCCATCTGACAAGGGATTAACAACTAGAATATATAAGGAGCTCAAACAGTTCTATGGGAAAACATCTAGTAATTAGATTAAAGAATAGGCAAAAAGATCTGAATAGACATTTCTCAAAAGACGACATACAAATGGCAAACAGGTATATAAAAAAGGTGCTCAAATCATTGACTGTCAGAGAAATGTAAATCAAAACTACAATGAGATATTATCTCTTCCCAGTTAAAATGGCTTTTTTCCAAAAGACAAACAATGATAAATGCTGGTGAGGATGCGGAGAAAAGAGAACCCACATACACTGTTGGTAGGAATGTAAATTAGGACAACCACTATGGAGAACAGTTTGGAGGTTTCTGAAAAAAACTAAAAATAGAGCTTCTGTATAATCCTGCAATCCCACTGCTAAGTATATATCCAAAAGAAAGGAAATCAGTATATCAAAGAGCTGTCTGCACTCCCATGTTTATTGATCAGTTTTCACAATAGCCAAGATATGGAAGCAACTAAGTGTCTATGAACAGATGATAAAAAATGTATTAAAAATGTGGTACACATACATAATGGAGTACTATTCACCCATAAAAAAGAATGAGACCCTGTCCTTTGCAACAGCATGAATGGAACAGGAGGTCATTATGTTAAGTAAAATAAACCAGACACCGAAAGACAAATTTTGCATGTTCCCACTTATTTGTGGGAGCTAAAAATTAAAACAATTGAACTCTTGGAGATAGAGAAGAGAATGATAATTTTCAAGTGTGTGGAAAAAATAAGGTAAAAGGAAAAAGAAAATTTAAAGAGAGAGAGAGAGAACAGAACGATAGTTACCAGATGCTGGGAAGAGTAGTGGTGGGCAGGGTGAGGGGTGGGGTGGGAATGGTTAATGGGTACAAAAATATAGTTAGATAGAATGAATAAGATCTAGAAATCTTGTAGTTTTTAGCACAATAGGGTGACTACAGTCAACAATAATTTATTGCACATTTAAAAATTACTAAGAGTATAATTGGAGTGTTTGTAATACAAGGAAATGATAAATGCTTGAGGTGATGGATACACGTGTACCCTGATGTAATGATTACACATTGCATGTGTGTATCAAAATATCTCATCTACCCCATAAATATATATACACCAGCTATGTACCCACAAAAATTTTAAATTAAAAAAACAAAAAACCCAAACATAGTTTCTCTTCAGGGCGCCTGACTTTGAAATCTCAGAATGAAGTGCCCCTGTAAGGAAGAATGAACAAATACAAAAAAAAAAAAAAAAACCAGTAGCTCAAGCCAAATGCCCTCAGTGCTTTCTTAGCCATTTACAAGCAGCTTGTTGCAAGGCCCAGCAACCCAATTATACTTGCCAAATTCTATTCCAGAAGAAATGTGTACTTTTGATTTAGATATACACACACAGTAGCAACCCCCACCTACTTCTCTTGCTTGTGTAACGCAGCATGTATTCAACACCTGTAATACTTAATCCCCCAGATTTTCCTCTCTTCTGCACTCCTTGTTTCTTAAGCCTCCTATCAAACCACAAATGCCCTCTTTACCCTGTGCACAGCGGTTTCCCCAGTTTTCAGTCAAACCCCAAATATGTGATTCTTACCTTGCTGCCCTGGGGTGTAGATAGGTTTGTCAGTCTGTACGAAGGTGCCACTCCCCTGTCTCTGAATTAGAACCTTTTTCTTCTCCTCAAAGCTGATGTTATTTCCAACTCCTGACACCCGGATTGTGGCCACTTCTTCTGTGCCACCAGCAGGAGGTGGTACCTGACCAAGAAAGGGGACTTCTGGGGTGGAGTAAGGGATTGGGGGAACAGAATCAACTGGTCTCAACCCAACAGTGAGTAAAAGGAAGGAGTTGCGTTAGATGGGGGTAGCAAGGACAGAGACATAAAACAAATTACCAGGAGGAAGAATTAAGATCAGGAACTAAAGGGAGAAATCCAAGGTCAAGGAAATTGTGGGTGAGTTATAGCCGGGGATTGAGGTTAAGTTGAGAAAAAATAGGTTTAGAGGCCGTGGCAAAGGAAAACAGAAATTATGCTTAAAGTAGATTATATTGAGCCTAGGGAGAAGAATAGGCAAGTAAGGGATTAGAGTTAGAGCAAAGGAGAACAGGCAAGTAAGGGATTCGAGTTAGGGCTGAGTCTGTGCTTACGAGAAAGGAGATACAATGTAAGTGCCTCTTCTTCAATCCAGAGTGTTCTAGCAACTTCTGGGTCTTGTCCTTGGTCTCCAGAGTAACCGTGAATTTAACATCACAGTACCCAGGGCTCAGATCCAAACAAACCTTCTGAACGGAGGGGAAGTTTAGCTGGGCTGGTAATGTCACCAGGTAGTTTCTATGAAAGGAACAGAAGGATTTCAGGGCAATAATGATTCATTCACGTCAGGAAAAATTAAGTCCTCTCCTAAGCGCTCAGCACGTAGCAGTGAATTAGGCAGACCAAGCCCCTGCCTTCCTTATGCCGCTCATTTTCTACAAGAAGCAGAGAAACAACAACGCAGTGCACAGTCTTAAACTTCTACCATCAGGAGGCCCTCACCGAGAACACACGCCTAAAGCACCAAGGAGGAAATCAAGCCTATTTCAAAAAACAGGGTACATTTTAATATTTCTCTTTTTTAAGGCTTCCTCTTCATCCCTCAGCCTTCCTCTCTGGGTAAAGGATCCGTGGAAGCAAAGAAGAGAAAAAAGGAGGAGGAAATTAAGATAAACCAAAGTGTATCTCCCCATCTCCATATAAATGTTTGAGAAAGTTCGGCAAAGAAGCCACTGCCCTAATAAACCAATTCTGACACCAAGCACTCACGGAAGTTCTTCTGCAATGGCTGGCGATAGGGCCAACATTCCTAGAAGGAGATGAGCCCACATCTTTGTGGGTGAGACAGATTTTCCAGGGTCGGGACCAGAGATCCGCTCTGCGTAGCTTTATATACTAACTCCAGGTAGGGTGTGCAGCGATGACTGATGCTGTAGTCAATCACCTCCTGGCACCGGGGACACAGGAGGACTGTGTTCCTCCTTCTCTAACCGCTGGCTTAGGTGGTGGACCAGGGTAGGGCCACTATTCACTTCTTTAAAGCTGTTTCTCCCTGGAACATCTGTACTGGTTCAGCCAGTTTTGGGGGAAAACCAGAGCTGAGTATTCATAATGGTAAAGCTCTCAGAACATAGTTTGAACTCCTCCCTTTTTTTCTGGTTTCATTCCAATTCCTGTTCTCATTTAATGTCCTTATTTTCTTTTATTATTCAATTAAGGTGTAGTTGGGAACACGGGTATGAGAACAGTATCAATAGAAAAGCAATAAACTTGGCCGGTCACGGTGGCTCACGCCTGTAATCCCAGCACTTTGGGAGGTTCAGGTGGGCGGATCATGAGGTTAAGAGTTCAAGACCAGCCTGGTCAACATAGTGAAACCTGTCTCTACTGAAAATTTAAAAAAAAAAAAAAAATTAGCTGGGCATAGTGGTGGTTGCCTATAGTCCCAACTACTTGGGAGGCTGAGACAGGAGAATCACTTGAACCCGGGAGGTGGAGGTTGCAGTGAGCCAAGATCATGCACTCCAACCTGGGTGACACAGTGAGACTCTGTCTCAAAAAAAAAAAAAAAAAAGTTAATACTACTCAGTATTATTGTGACTGTATGGAAACAGGAACACATACAGTCCTAGAGAAAACAGAATGTGGATAACCTTTCTCACGGCAATTTCGTAATACACATCAAAGCCTTTAAGATTTGCATATTCTTTGACTCAGCAACTCTTACTCTGCAAATGTTTCTTAATGAGGAAAAAAAGGACAGCATGCATGTATGCACAAATGTATCTACACTGAGTTTTTTCACACTGTTCTTTCTTTTTTGTCTTTTATTTTGTGTTTTTTTATTTTTTTGAGGTAGAGTCTCACTTTGTCACCTGGGCTGGAGTACAGTGGCACAATCTCAACCCACTGCAGCCTTGACCTCCTAGGCTCAAGCGATCCTCCCACCTCAGCCTCCTGAGTAGCTGGGACTACGGGTGGGCACCAACACTCCTGGCTAACTTTTTTGTATTTTTAATAGAGACGGGGTTTCACCATGTTGCCCAAGCTAGTCGTGAACTCCTGAGCTCCAATGACCACTTCAGCCTCCCAAAGTGCTGGGATTACAGGTATGAGCCACCATGCCCAGCCCACAGTGCTCTTTACGATGGTAATACTTAGAAGTCACCTAAAATATAAATTAGTCTAAGTGCAGTGGCTCACGCCTATAATCCCAGTTTTTGGGAGTCAGAAGCTGGAGGATTGCTTGAGCCCAAGAGTCCAAGACCAGCCTGGGCAACATAGTGAGACCCCGTCTTTGTAACCACTCAATGGATTCACCTTGCCCGCTGCCTAGACAGAGCTGACTTATCAAGACAGGGGACTTGCAATGGCGAAAGAGTAACTCACGCAGAACCAGCTGTGCGGGAGACCGGAGTTTTATTATTACGTAAATGAGTCTCCTTGAGCATTTGTGGATCACAGTTTTTAAAGATAATTTGGCTGGTAGGGGCTTGGGAAGTGGGGAGTGCTGATTGCTGAGGTTGGAGATGGAATCATAGAGGGTCGAAGTTAGATTTTCTGAATGTCTTCTGTTCCTGGGTGAGATGGCAGAACTGGTTGGGGCAGATTACTGGTCTGTGTGGTGTCAGCTGATTCCATCGAGTGCAGAGTCTGCAAAATAACTCAATTACTGATCTTACATTTTACAACAGTGATGTTATCCCCAGGAGCAATTTGGGGAGGTTCAGACTTTTGGAGCCAGAGGCTACATGACCCCTAAACTATAATTTCTAATCTTGTAGCTAATTTGTCAGTCCTGCAAAGACAGACTGGACCCCAGGCAAGAAGGGGGTCTTATTGGGAAAGGGCTGTTATCAATTTTGTTTCAGAGTCAAACCATGAACTGAATTCCTCCCCAAAGTTACTTCCATCTACGCCCAGGAATCCACAAGGACAGCTTAAGGGTTAGAAGCAAGATGGAGTCAGTTAGGTCTGATTTCTTTCATGTCATAATTTCCTCAGTTATAATTTTGCAAAGGCGGTTTCAGTCTGTACAAAACATTTCTTTAAAATAGCTGGGTGTGGTGGTGCACGCCCATAGTCCCAGCTACTCTGGAGGCTGAGATGGTAGGACTGCCTGAGCCCGGGGAATCAAGGCTGCGGTGAGCCATGATAGCGCCACTGCACTCCAGCCTGGGCAACAGTGAGAACTTGTCTCATTAAAATAAAATAAAATAAATAAAATAAAATTAAATAAATAAAATTAAATTAAATAAGCGAGCATGCTCTCTGGGATGATGAAAGATCACCATATACCAAATCAGCTTAATCAAAAAAGCGTTTTTGGTGACTAGAATGGATCCAACAGGAAGAATGAGCTTATGGAACCAGAGCAACTTGAAAGACTTTACAGCCTGGGATTAGAGACTTGGTGCAGCCAGGGCTGACTCCTCCTCGTCTTTCTCTCTCGTGTACTTTCTCTGGTTGGCTCATTTTCTCCTACTGCACACAAGCTTTTCTTCAAGTCATAGGGAGGATGGCAGCTGGGAGCCCTCAAGCCGTATTTGTTCAGCTCCATGACCCCTAATGACAAAACTTTTCACCTATGTTATAAAATTCCTAAAGAAGAACTGTGTTCCTCCTTCTCTCACTGGCTCACCTCTGAATCAGTCACTGTAGCCAGGAGGGTATGATAGGCAGGGCCTGGGTCATTCTCCCACCTAGAGGCCAGGGTGATGGGGTCCTGTGATTGGCCACCCCTTTAGAGCCACATGGAGTTGGGGAGGGGAAATTATTCAAAGAAATCACTACAATAGGAAATGTGTTGGTGTAAAGAGCTGGAAACTTAAAACATTAAGTCTATTACAATGCCCAATAATGAGTTTAGTTGAATAAACTGTCATGTTAATATAAAGCAATACTCTGCAGCCATTAAGAATAATGTTTTCATGAGAAGGGGCATTATTTGCAATACTAATTGAAAGGGGTTGGGGCTGGTGCAGTGGCTCACACCTGTGATCCCAGCACTTTGGGAGACTGATCCATAGGAGTTCGAGACCAGCTTTGTCAACATGACGAAACCCTGTCTCTACTAAAAATACAAAAATTAGCCAGGCATGGTGGTGGGTGCCTGTAATCCCAGCTACTCGGGAGGCTGAGGCAAGAGAATCACTTGAACCAGGGAGGCAGAGGCTGCAGTGAGTTGAGATCATGCCACTGCAGCCTGGGCAACAAGAGCAAAACTCTGTCTCAAGAATAAAAGAAAAGAAATGGGTTGGGGAAAGTGATACAAAACGACATGTGGCAAGTTCCACTTTAACTTGGAATATAAAAAGCTAGAAAGAGTGTGGCATGGTGGCTCAAGCCTGTGATCTCAATGTTTTGGGAGGGCAAGGTGGGAGGATTGCTTGAGGCCAGGAGTTCGAGACAAGCCTCGGTAGTATAGCAAGACCCTGTCTCTACCAAAAAAAAAAAAAATTAAAAATTAGCCAGATGTGGTGTCCCATGCCCACCTACTTGGGAGGCTGAGGCAGGAAGATCACTAGAGGCCAGGACTTCAAGTCTGCAGTGAGCCATGATTGTGCCACTGCACTGCAGCCTGGGCAGCAGAGCAAGACCCTGTCTCTAAGAATAAAAAATAAAAATAAGCTGGAAAAGTGCATTGCTCCCTCTCTGACAATACAAAAAAGCCAGACAAACTGCAAAATCACTTTTCTTAAACCAAAAGTTGAACCTAAGAGCTGAGCTGAGCTGGGCGCGGTGGCTGACGTCTGTAATCCTAGCACTCTGGGAGGCTGAAGCAGGCAGATCACAAGGTCAGGAGTTCGAGACCAGCCTGGCCAATATGGTCAAACCCCATCTTTACTAAAAACACAAAAGAATTAGCCGGGCATGGTGGTGCATGCCTGTAATCCCAGCTACTCAGGAGGCTGAGGCAGGAGAATTGCTTGAACCCAGGAGGCAGAGGTTGCATTGAGCCGAGATCACGCCTCTGCACTCCAGCCTGGGTGAGAGAGCAAGACTCCATCACAAAACAAAACAGCTGAGCTGAGGGTGCAGGTGAGCTAAGTAGTCTGAAATTCAAGGAGATACAATTCCTCATGAGCAGAGACTTGATGGGTGGAGTGTCTCATCAGTGCCAGAGCATGGGAGGCGTTTGGCCTTTCATACAGACATGCAGGAAGAAAGCAGCTACATTTTTCATACAGTGCTAGAGGCCTGGTGCAGATTAGAGTGACTATAAGGAGCCTCTGGGTGTCACAGAAGCAAGGGAGGGCTTTACTTACCCACAGGCTCCTTTCCGTAACCTCTACCAGGTGTTCACAGGAAATACTGGGGGCCAAGCGGGAGACTAAAAAGAGCCCCCTCAGTACCATGGGCATCAAGGACCATATTTGCTCTCATTGCAGAAAAGGCCCCAGCTGCCCATGCATCTCTCTTGAAAGCCATAAGACCCTGGGGAGAAGTGGCAAACACTATTGCTCTCAGGGCACAGGTGTTACCAAGGGAAGAGCGGGGAGGACCCTAGTCCAAGGGAGGGACAAGGAGCAATTGTAAGCCCAGAGTTCTAAGTTAATACTTTTAGAGGTCTCCTGAAACTGAAGGAGGGGCACAAAAAAATCTTTCCCACCCAAGACCCGCCACAAATTCAAAGCAGAGTTTGGCAGCCTGGCATAAGGAGTAGGGAAATACTCATCCCCTACGGCCCAGGCATATAAACGTACCTAAGAAAGAAGATAAAGAGGGCAACAGAGAAGCACCCTGTCCCCTCACCATTACCTTAGCAAGAGCAGCAAGTAACTAAGCAGTCTGCCCTGGCAGAGGGCATGAACATGTGGAGAAACGACCTCTGTGGTGCCTGTGTGGTGTATAGAGGAGACGGGAGCTGAGGATGGGGCACAAACATTGAGAAATCCCCAGCATTTCAGATGCCACCCTAAGCATAAGGCATCACAAAAGGAATTTGAAGCCTATGATGTACCGAAAGTAAACTTGGCAATTACAAAACCTGAATCCAGTTCACCTTTTA